GTACCTCAAGACTGATCTGGATATGTTCTTTTGACAATGAATGTAACACCATTCCTCTTCAATTTGTCATTCCCGGCATAGTAAACCATGTGGTTGTCAGATTCAAAATGGCCAATACCAGTCAATTTCAGCTCACTAATGCCTAAGATATCGATGTTTATGTGTTCCATTTCACTTTTGACAACTTCTAATTTTCCCAGATTCATACTTCGTACATTCCATGTTCCAATTTTCAGTGGATGTTTACAGCTGTTTCTCTTCATTTTGAGCTGTGCCCCATCAACAAATGAAGGCTCCACGGGCTTGTCTCTGGTAGTGTTTACTCCATTTGTGTTATCATAGTCAACTCTACTTTGAGGAGGCAGCTCTTCCCCAGTTGCATTTTGAGTGCCTTCCAACCTGAGGGACTCATTTTCCGGCACTATATCTGACAGTGTTTTTCTGCTATTCATAAGGTGTTCATTGACTAAAGATTCGGAAGTAGTTCATCACTCTTTCTTCCTCATCTGTCTTTGTCTGGAAGCTCATCTAAAAACTGTCCACCATGGGTGACCCTGTTAGTTATTTAAAATACCAGTGGCATAGCTTTCAGAATCATAGCAATTCACAAGCCACCACAGTATGACGAATTGACAGATGTTTATAATTGTTTGTCCTCATTTTTGTGTTGTGCCCTATCATCAAATGAAGGTCTCAAAACCTTACTCCATTCTCATCATCATGGTCAACTCTACTTTCAGGAGGCAGCTTGCACACAGTTGTATTTTGTGTTCCTTCCAACCTCCTCATTTTCTGGCATTATATCTGACAATATTCTGGTGCTCTTCATCATGTTTCAATATTTTATATTCTGGTGCTTTCTAAAAGTGTTCCAATGCTAGTCATAATGTTGTCATTGACTAAATATTCAGAAGAAGTCTATCTAGGCTTCTTCCTAGTCTGTCTTCATCTGGAAGCTCAGCTAAAACCTGTTCACCATGACTGATCCTGCTCGTATTTAAAATACTGATGCCACAGTTTCCAGAATCACAAGTCACCACAGTATGACAAGCTGACAGACAAGTGGTGGTACTCTTCTATATTCCAACAGAAGTTGAACAGCAAGGGCCCTGTCTACACTTCAAAGAGATCATCCAGAGATACTTAAGGAAACATTTCTGGTTTGTAAAAAAAAAAAAAAACACACAGAAATTAACTTGGTTTTTAAAAAATATGCTTGTACATTCTTCACAGTAGAGAAAGAAATAATTTATAATTGTAAGTTTTCTACAGTAAATGCTCTCAGGAAAGGGAGGGCGAGTCTCCCTTTTACACCAAAGAAAATTATTTTTTACTTCATTTTCAATTGATATTTACTCTTATAATACATAACATCAAAATTGATTTGAATGGTCACAGTTCCAGAAAGATACAACTATGGATTCAGAGTCAGATTTCTGGATTTGAATTTTGATTCAAATTTTGGGTTCCTCTGTAACCTTGGGAATTTTTTTTATTGTTTGTGTTGTTCTTCAGTGCTCAGAATTTCAATTCTCTCATCTCTAAAATGGAAAGAAAACTCCCTGAGTGTGTACACAGTTTGCTTGGCTGCTAACCAAAAGGTTGGAAATTCAAGTATCCAAATTGTCTTGGAAGAAAGGCCCAGAAATCCATAAGAGGACTTCATAAAGTTTTGGAAACATTTCATTGTCTTTGTGTGTGTGTGTGTGTAGTATACTTCAGATTTCTTTTTTTCTTTCTTTGTTTTAAAGCTTTTATTATGAATTGTATGATAGCTTGCATGGGAGAACGTTGGTTTTACACTCATCCTATCAAATTTCATTTCACTGCAATAATTACAATCCCCTCTGTATGTACATCATTATTCAACAGCATTTCTATTTCCTCTGTTATTTTAATTTTTTAATTTTTTTTTTTGGATATACACAAAAACATGTAGGATTATATAATTGTTGAAACAACAAAAGGGCACATTCTGCAAGCCAGCCTCCTGGCCACCAGCACACAGCCTTTCTCTTTCTATGATCTTTTAATTCCATTTTTCTACAAACTTTTTAAAGCACCCTCATATTTTCAATGAATCAGCCATCAAAAACTCTATGACACATTTGGAGTTACTATGAATTGGAGTGGACTCAATAACAACTGGTAAAATGGGGACAGCCAGGAGCTCTGGTAGCATAGTGGTTACGAATCGGGCTGTGAACTGCAAGGACAGCAGTTTGAAACTACCAGCTGTTTCATGGGAGAAAGATGAGGCTTTCTGCCCCCAGAAAGATTTATGGAAACCCTGTACAGGGTTGCTATAAGTCAGAACCAACTCCATGGCACATAACAACAACAACAACAACAGGGTTCATCGGAGTCCTGGTGTGGTGTTGTGGGTTAATGCATGAAAGATCTTATAAGATGACATATAGAGAGCCCTTAGTATAGACCTAATGGGTGACAGGCACTAAAAGATGGTTATTTTATTATATGTATTTTAATCACACTTTATTCATTAAAAAAATACTGTGATATACACACATAACGAAATCTCCACATGCAAGCCTATAGAAATAAATTAAGGTGAATGATGTCAATAGTTTTAAGAATATATACCAACATTTGAGAAAGTAACACTATAGAAATGCTTCCAATTTAAGGTTACAACTCACTAGCATAGAAATAAAAAAGATACAGAAGGACCACAAAGGAATCAAGACAAAGTCTCAGAATTGTTCTTGGCATAATAGTATTGAGCATATTAGGTTTTACAAAAGACAGGACTGAAGAGTCATCATAGAAATTATGGATATTAGTTTTTAAAAAATATGTAAACACTATGAGAGAGCAAGTCATATATCCACCATGATCAGGTAAAAGAATAATATGGTTTAAGAGATCCAAAAGTTGTGACCTGATCCAACTTCAGACTCAATGCATTTTACAATTGGTACCCACAAATCTTAGTTCTGGAGTCAATGAACCATCATCGACAAGAGGCCACTCTGCTGAGGAGCCTTGCTAGGGCCCCCTTGACATCCTTGTTCCTCAGACTGTAGATGAAGGGGTTAAGCATGGGGGTGACCACAGCGTACATCACTGAGGCTATTAAGAAATTTTGGGAGGAGTGAGTCATTATAGAAGTGAATTGGGCTCCAACACCTGTTCCATAAAATAAAGAAACAACTGAGAGGTGAGACCCACAAGTGGAAAATGCTTTTTGCTTTCCTCCAGATGAGGATATCTTACTGATGGATGAAACAATTCGTGAGTAAGAAAACAAAATCACAATGAAGGGGAAGACCCCCAGCACTCCAGTCATAAAATAGATCAATGTGCCATTCAGAAAGGTATCAGAGCAGGCTGCCTTGAGAATCCATGTCAGTTCACAAAAGAAATGTGGAATTTCAAGATCTTTACAGAAGTTCAGGTGCATCATCAAAGATATATGGAGGAGAGATACCATGACACCAGTGAACCAGGTAATAAACACCAGCAGGCCACAGAGGCGGGAGTTCATGATAACTGTGTAGTGCAGGGGGTGACAGATGGCCACGTACCGGTCATAGGCCATCACAGTCAGAAGTAGAGTGTCCAGAATAGGAAAACACATGGAAAAAAAGACCTGGGTGAGGCAGTCCATGTAGGAGATGGCTTTGTTCTCTGTCTGGATGTTCACCAGCATCTTGGGGACTACAGTGGTACTGAAACAGATGTCAATCAAGGACAAATTTGAAAGGAAGAAGTACATGGGGGTGTGGAGATGGGGGTCAGAGCTGATCACCAGGATGATGAATAGGTTCCCAAGCATGGTGATCAGGTACATGGTCAGGAAAAGACCAAATATGAGAGGCTGCAATTCTGTATTGTCAGAGAGTCCAAGCAGGATGAACTTTAAAGCTCCAGTTTTATTTCCTGTTTCCATGTAGCTGATGGATCTACCAAGAAACAAGCACGTCTTATTAACAACAAGTTGGCATCTTGAACATAATATCAATATTGACCACTCAAATTATTTATGGAGTCACATCATTTCACATGATCTCATTTTACTTATAAATTTGGTGGAACCCTAGAAAATGGAGTCTCTACTCCCAGCTTTCTTTGTTAAACTTTTGCTTTGTAAAAATTCTGTCAGATAGTCACGGAGCTTCAGTGATAGGACAAGTCAACTACATGTGCCTATTGACAGGATACACTTAAAAGAACACAGCATCACTTCAGTGGGATTCCTGTCCAAAATGCATGAACTCAATCTAAAGATTAGGGAACCAAAGATAAACCCAAATTGATGGGCATTTGACAGAGTATTTGACCTATGCCTTTCAAAATGGCAATATTATGAGAGGCAAAAAGTCTCTGGACTGTGCCAAATTAAAGGAGGCAAAAGAGCTATATCGACCAAATACAGTGCACAATTTGAGAATTTCTTTTGGTATAAATGACACTCAAAAGAGGAATGACTTCAACAACATGTAGTGGCAAGAATGGGTTCAAACATAGCCACAGTATGGGAGCGCCGCAAGGCTGCCCAGTGTTTTGTTCTGTTATACACAAGGTGACTTTGAGTTCAAATCAGCTTTTTTCTTTCACTCTCCACTTTACCAGGGACTGGTCTTTCCTGACAACATATCCAAAAAATGAAAGACAAAATCTCACCATCCTCATTTCTAAAGAACATTCAGACTGTACTTCTTCCAAGATAGATTTATTTGTTCATGGTATTTTCAATATCCTCCACCAATACCATAATCAAAATGCATGCATTCATCTACAGTCTTCTATATTCACTGTCCAACCTTCACATGCCTCATATGAGACAATTGAAAATACCATGGCTTGGGTCAGTCCTCAGACTGACATCTTTGCTCTTTAATGCCTTAAAGAGGTCTTTTGCAGCAGATTTGCCAATTGCAATAAGCCCTTTGATTTTCCCTGGACTCCTGCTACCATAAAAGTTCATTGTGGATCTAAGTGTGGTTCTGTGGGATAATGCCCTGGGCGCTGTGGAATAATGCATTGGACCACAAGGTCGGTTTGAACCATAAGGTGGGCAGTTCAAATTTACTAACTGCTCCTTGAAAACCTTATACAGGGTCACTATGAGCTCAGAACAGTCTCGAAGACATTTAATCACAACAGTAACAAAGCAAAATGAAGTATTTGACATTTCTCCATTTATCATATTTAGTGATTAGTTGTGAAGATTTTCATTTTCTTTATATTAAGGTGCAATCCATACTGAGGTGTTGATCTTCATCAGAAAGAATTTAAAATCCTCTTTACTTCCAGCAAGCAAGGTTGTATCATAGGCACATTGAGGTTGTTAATGAGTCTTCCTCCAATTCTAATGACAGCTTCTTCAAATAATCTAGTTTCTCAGATTATTTGCTCAGTATACAGACTGAATAAATATGGTGAAAGGATACAACATTGACCCACACAATTCCAGATTTTAAGCCATTCAATATCTCCTTGCTCTGTTTGAACCACTATCTCTTGGTCTATGTGCAGCCTCCTCATGAGCAAAACTAAGTGTTCCAGAATCTCTAATCTTCAAATATTATCCATACTTTGTTATGATTCACACAGTTGAATGCCTTTCCATAGTCAATAAAGGAAAATCAAACATCTTTCTGTTATTCCTTGCTTTCAGCCAAGATCCATTTGGTTAGAAGTCCTCTTCTGAATCCTGCTTGGATTTCTGGCAGCTTCTTGTCAATGTACTGCTGCAAATGTTATTGACTATCTCTACCAAAAATTTTAGTTGCATGTGATATCAATGATATTGTAGGATGGTTTATACATTTTGTCAGATAACCTTTATTTGGATTGGGTATAAATATGAATCTCTTGCAATCAGTTGGCCAGGAAACTCTCTTCCAAATTTCTAGGCATAAATAGATGAGTACATCCAGTGCTACATCAGTTTGTTGAAAGGTGTCTATATATATACCATCAATTCCCAGAGCATTGTTTTCACCAATGCCTTCAGTGCCACTTGGATTTCCTCTTCCAGTACCATTGGTTTTGGATCTTATCCTATCTCTGGAAATGGTTGAAATTTAAGCAACTCATTTTTATGCAGTGACAGTGTATTCGTTCCATCTTTTGATGCTTTCTGGGCCATTCAACACTTGTCCATAGAATCCTTCACTACTTTACAAATTGAATTTTTCCTTCTGTTCATTCAGATTCCAAAATGTTGAGCATGTTTTTCCCTTTTGGGTTTCAAACTCAAGTGCTTTGCACATTTCATTATAAGACTTGACTTTGTCTTCTTGAGATACCTTTTGAAATTTTCTGTTTAGCTCTTTTACTTCATGATTTCTTCCAGTTGCTTTAATTTCTCTAGATTCAAAAGCAAGTTTCATGTATTTTTCTGACATCCATTTTGGTTTTTCATTTCTTCCATGTCTTTTTAATGATCTTTTCATGTCTTCATATATAATGTTCCTTATGTCATCCAAAACTATTCATTAGTTTCCAATGCATCAAATCTGTCCTTCAGATGGTCTAAATTCATGCAAAAGGTCATATTTTGGCATTTACAGACTTGATTTTCTTCAGTTTCAGCCTGAACTTACATATGTGCGATTGATGATCTCTTCCACAGTCAGCTTCTGGCCTTGTTTTAGCTGATGACATTGAGCTTCTCCATTGTCTCTTCTCAAATGTAGTCACTTTGATTCCTGTGTATTCAATCTGGTTAGGTCCATGTGTATAGTCTCCATCTATGTTGTCGAAAATAATACTTGCAATGAATACGGCATTAGTGTTGCAAAGTTCTATCATGTGATCTCCAATTTGGTTTCTATAATCAAGGTCATATATTTTCCAACTAGAAGTCCTGATGTGGCACTGTAAGTTAATGCTTTGGACTGCAGAGTCAGATTGAACTACAAGGTCATTGGTTTGAGTTCACCAGCTGCTCCTCAGAATTGCTATACAGGGTCATGATGGGTCAGAACCAATTTGACGGCACTTAACAATAACAGTCCTTTCTCATTGTTTCCAATGTCTTCAATACAATCATCGGTAATCATCAATGCATCTTGATTGCATATTTGATCAAATTCATAATGAAGAAGTTGGTAGAATTCATAAATTTCTTCATGATTGGATTTAGTGCTTGGTGTGTAAAGTTGAATAACAGTGGTGATAATTGAACTTGTTATGCTCATTGTTGTTGTTGTTGTTGTTGTAAAGCATAGGTTTTCTAAGGAGCAGCTGATGAGCTCAAACCAATGACTTTACAATTCAAATGACTTTGCAGTCTGACGCATTAGCCCACAGTGCCACACCAGGTTACGTGCCTTTTATTCAGCTTCAGATCATAGGGACCCTATACATAAAAGAATGAAACACTGCCCAGCTGAATTGTCTTTATATTTGAGCCCATTGTTACTACCACTGTGTCACTCCATTTTGATGGGGGCCTTCCTCTTGTTTAGCTGACCCTCCACTTTTACAAGCATAATGTCTTTCTCCAGGCACTTGTCCTGCCTGACAACACACTGAAGACTCAAAGACAAAGTTTCACCGTCCTCACTTCAGAGCGACACTCTGGCTATACTTCTTTCAAGACAGATGTATTTGTTCTTCTGGTAGTCCATGGTACCTTCCATAGACTTTGCCAACTCCAAAATTCAAGTGCATCAACTATTCTATTGTTTTCCTAATTCACTGTCCAGTAAATTGTTGCTGTTGAGTGCCATCAAGTCAGTTCTGACTCATAGTGACCCTGATAGGGTTTCGTAGGAGCGACTGGTGAGCTTGCACAGCAGTTTCAACTGACCTTGTAGTCCAGCACATTAATTCACAGCACCACACCAGAACATTTCATTAAAATTCCAAATTTATTTGCATAAGGATCTCCATATTTCTAATGATATTTTCAACATTTTTGTGGTTGTCTCAGTAAGAATTTATCCAATTTGCCTATTTTTAAAAGAACCATCCATATTGATCTGCTGTATTATATTTAATTTCCTATTGTATTAATATTTTCTTTGAATATGATTATTTTTTCTTCAGCTATCTCTACATCTATGGAGTTCTGGTGTGGCACTGCAGGTTAGTGTGCTGGACTGCAAAGTCAGTTTGAACCTCAAGGTCCGCGGTTCAAGCTCACCAGCCACTCCTCAGAAACCCTATACAGGGTTGCTATGGGTCAGAGCTGACTCGACAGCACTTGACAACAACAACAAACTTTAGCTCTAATATAACACTCTCTTTCTCAATCCTTGAGACATATGGATAGACACCAACTTCCTCATTGATTTTCAATGTTTCAAATTTTCTAAAATATGCATTTCAGGCAAACCTCTGATATGCATAGTCCACGTTAGAACCACGCTCTTCTTCATATAATTCTGCTTCTCAGATTATTTGCTCAGCATATAGATTCAATAAGTATGGTGACAGGATAAAATTGTGGCACATACCTTTCCTTATTTTAAAGTACACAGTATCCCCTTGTCCTGTTCAAATGACTGCCTTTTGGCCTGTGTACCAAATCTTCATAAACACAGTTAAATGTCCTGAAATATCCATTTTTCACAATTTCATCCATAAATGTGTTATGATACACACAAATACCTATGTATAGTCAAAAGAGGACCAGTTAGCATATTTCTATCATTCTCTGTTATTAGACAAACTCCATCTGCATTAGCAGTGTTATCCCTTCTTTCACAAACAATTCTAAACCCAACTTGGATTTTGGGAGACTCTCTGTCAATAATTATCTTCAATAAAATTTTACTTGCATGTGATATTTAAGATACTGTTCAATGATTTCCACAATCTGGTGGGTCACCTTTCTTTGAAATGGACACAAATATGGATTTCTTATAATTGTTTGGCCAGGTAGATGTCTTCCAAATTTCTTAATACAAATGAGTGGGTACTTACCTCCAGTGA